CTCTTCCTGGAAAATCGTACAAAGAAAACTACATTTCAAAACGGACATTACTTTCCGAACAACCTAATACATTAATGAGAGGGGAGAGAAAGATAGTGCTGAGCTGTTGCTAACAAATTTGACAAATATGTTTTCGCCGCTGTTGCCGTGAACTGCACAATGATGGATTTACTTTAGATATTGGATTAGCGATCCGACATTCTAAAGCTGCTGAGGGATGGATCAGTTTGTGGCGCGGTTGGAGCCCTTCATTGATGCGTGATTTGCCATTTTCCGGTTTGTATTTCAGTTGGCTCCACTTTCAACTTATTATTTTGCATAATTCCCACATTGTTTTGCGTCATATCAATTTAGCCAGTGAATTTTTATGGCACTGTAAACTTTAGAATTGTTCATTTCATCAGTTTGTTTCGATGCTTCAGCTAAACTAATAACTGCTAACTGTACATACAGAAAAATTTATTGGCATGGCGCAGTGGCAAGTGGCGCTGACCTCGTGCTTAAAGCCGGGTAGTTAGGCTTTACAGTAGTGAAACATCCGTTCCCTCTACAACTCATTCATTCGTGTTGGTAGCAGCTTGGTTCTAGCAGGTGCCAGAAAATGAAATTCGCCATCGGTTTGCTTTTAAGCAAATTTCAGAAAAGAGTTGTCCACAGCCTTGTCTAGGGGTGGTTGCATTTGACAGTTATTAGCATTCAGGTTGTTTCTGACTGGACTTTGCTTCACGGGAAAAGCGGATAGGGGCGGAGAGGAAGTAGGGGCGGAGGGAGGGGAAGGGGAGGGGGTTTTTGACTTTCAAATTTTCGATCCTATTCTTTGCTGTTGGTGTTACGATCCTACTCTTTGTTGCTGCACTAACTTCATGAGTTTCCCCCTACGTACTGGATTCTAGCAGTTTGGTGTTAAGTCCAAATTCGTTATTTTACTATACTTTACGCATAAATTTCATTAACTTTTTTCCTTCTTTCGTAATTTTGCTAATATTAGTACGTAGATTCATGCGTATTGGAAAATTCCGGACTTGGTTTTTACTGCTGATAATGTGTTTATTCAGTCTACAATCAGCTTTTTGTGAACGGGTGAGCACTTGCTGTCTTTGCGAACCCCCGACTTCCAAATCGCCATCGTTCTGTCCTAACTGCGTTGCAACCAAACTTAGCATGTACGGCTGTGTAAGGAGCTTCAAAAAAATAATAGCTGTTGCCGCTGGTAAGCTTTTGTGATTGTAGCGGTATACTGGACTGGATACGAGTACCTGAAAAGGAAGGCGTTGCTGACATTGGATCGCAAGGAAACAAATTTTCTCATCAGTTTTGCTTGTGGTGCGCTATCGGGCTCATTGGCTGCATTTTTGACGACTCCGTTCGACGTTGTGAAAACGCACCGTCAGGTCACACTGGGCGAGGTAAAACTCACTGTATTATCGCAGTTGCAAATGGCTTCTTTATTGTTTTAAACTCTATCACTGTTGTGCGAGGGATCCAATCCGTTAATATGTAGTTAAAAGTCCAAAATGCCAATTTATTAAATAAAATACGCCGAAGAAAAGACCAAAGTAAATGTATGAAATCTTTTTTTGGGCAAAGAAATACGAAAAACACTGAGTCTCAACAATCCAAAAATTTGGTCAGCCGTATATCGTAGCGTTGTTCTCCAGCAATGCATTTGGCAATTCATCTAGTTGCTTTGTTCAGTGCTGCGTCTTTCCTAGTGATCCGGCTGCTGACGATCCTAGGATTCGTTTCATCTATCGAATGAATTACCAGTCCAAGGGTTCTTCCAACAGAAGAGCTTTGGCAGAGCTTCGGCCATTTCGTGATGTCCGCATCTATTGAGCATCACCACCTCGTCTCAGACATTGATATTCCTAGACTTCTACAAGTACTTTGCTGACTAGGGGTCGGTGTTTTTTAAAATTTTTAAATAATAAACTGCGTGCTGCTTTCTGTCTTAAAGTTACCATTTGTATTGCAGCGATGTAATATGTTTCAAGGAGAAGTGCCTTTCATTTTATAGGAGACGCCAAAATGAAGTAAAAGCCGTGGTAAGCAAAGGGGAAGTCGAGGAGCCGGTGGAGGGGTGGGTGGAGGGGCTGATTTTTTGCAGACAAAAAAAACTTTACAAAAGGCAAGTAATCTAGAGACGTTTCGAGACTTTTTGTGTAATTTGCTTTAGCATTAAACACTGGAAATGGGTCGAAGATTTTGTATCATGTCGTATTTTAACAAAATAGTGCGGAAAATCGAAAAAGAAGCCAAAAATTATGTGATCCCGTTCGTTTGAAGTTGAGGCAACTTAATGATTGCAACACAGTTGTGCCGGTGCTAATGAAAATAAACT